TAATGGTTCTGATTTATTGATAAGTTCACAGGTATATCCAGTGGCGTCTTTTGAGAATTTAATCACAGTAGACAATTGGTTTCGCCACACTACCAACCAAGTTCCTTTATCTACGAATCGTACCTTAAGCATCGTGCGTATTGAAGTAGCAGAAAGTTGCCACATTCCTAGACTTCTCTACTTGGACTGCCGGTGCTCGGTTCAAGGACTATTAATTCATGTTTTGGCACTGAACATAAGTTATAGCTTACCTCGTGCCCATCACCATCTAATCAGAGCAAAGATAACCGAAGAGGATTATGTTTTCGCCAGAAAACTATGATCATAGTCTTGTAGTGCGTGATGTTGTTTAGTTCCATGTTGCAATCTTACAAAGTCCATTGCCTGACATCGATAGAGGGGTCAAGACTAAATAAGTTGTTTGACAGAAATTAAGAAAAAAAAGTATTATGTGAGGAAGAAATAAGCGTGATAAGGTTTTGCATTCTTCAAGTAGCTTATTGTGTGCCTTACATGTTGGGTATAACATGATCGGGCGTATTTCTTCCATGGTCATCCATGACGGATAGCGCAGACAGGAAGATTATGGCAATATGGATAATTTAAACAAATACGAGCAGGTTGATAATATGCATTGCTCTGGATTGCGTACGACACTAGCTGAAAACAAGAGATATTGAGGAAGAAGCAAACATCAGAACTGAAAGAAAATATAAAATGAGAAAAGTTGCAAGCTTGATGCGTTGAGCACAGATCATATTGAGATACGCATGCATTGCAACGAATCTTGATTTTTCTAATTTTTTGATTGCTTTTTAGAAATCTTTCTTATTCATTCTAGTTGTGGCGAATAATTCTGTGTTTTTCATTTTTCGACACTTTTATGGTAGAGCAAGTGAAATCCGTAAAATTAGAATAAGTCGCCAAACCTAGAGTGAATCACAATGATTTTTAAAAATCAGGAACCGCTGCGATGCATCGATACGTAATAACATGCTTGCGATTGACTGCATGCTAATTACAGATAAAATTAGTTCTTTGAAATATCTTCAAGCTCATACAATGATATTAGAGATGCTAAAAACAAAAATAGTCAAAAAATGCAGCATGAATCTAAGACAAAAATCTCCTGGTTACCTAATAACAAGAAACATAAAACGATGTACTGCCATCGTTTTTAGTGTGATAACGAACTTTGCAAGCACATAATTGCTAACAATAGTTAATTCAATCCATATGTTCTCGTTCTCATTTAACTAGCATGTCATTCTGCTGCTAGCGTATTAACAGCAACTTTATTCAAGATTTTGCATCATTTCAAAAAATGGTGTGAAGCGCTGGGAGGCAATATTAGCTCTTTTCACTTGCGCATTAGAGAAGATCATTGTTTTTTTTCATCAGAAGAGAAGAATATTGTGTAAAGAGTATTTGATGAAAGAGCTAAGCGAAGATTCAAAACGTTTTTGTGAGTGTGCAGATGTCGGCGAGTCTATGAGTCGGCAATGTTCGGGTGAGTGTGTGATTACGAGGAAGACGCTACATTTTGCTTTAGCTGTGTTTGTGACGTGAGTACAGATGGTTGAAGGTGGTAATGAAAATGGTTGAGCGTGGGTAGCGGCTTGGCTTTGAATGTGAGTGGCTGAAAACGTCAACCGATGTAGTCTACATGTATTTTGTGAGAATAGACATAAGTGGTTCATAAAACCACAGTTACACTACACCCACATCAGCCCGCACCTCACATTCACGCACTCGCATTCTCACACCCTATTTAGCAAGATTTGCACTTCGGTAATTGCTAAGACTGCTACAGTAAGGTTCTTCTGCTATTCATAGTGTAACAACGATATAACTTAAGTGATAAATTCTTTTTTGATTTCAAATATAAGAGTTCCTTGCTGAAATGTTAAAACATGTGCATGCAACTTTCTGATTGTCTTGAATTTTTGTACGTAGAACGCACATACCATATAAGACATACTGGTCTCCTGTAAAAGAATGTGGATATGAGTGTAGATAAGATGAGAATGAACCTACGTCCATACCCACACCCATACCCTAAAGAAACTCTAACGAAAAAATATTGGATATGTCAAGAAAATGGATGTTGTGCTTATGTGCACATTACTATTGCAATGTTGTACTGAAGACTAGTGGTGATCACAATCATTTACTATATCCAGAAAATATGGAATTAAGATATGTTCGTACAAAAGTGAAAGAGTATGTAATGAATTAAACAAACCTGATCAGTAAAATTTATGAAGACGAAGTTATTCTATCTCAAATGTCACCACGAACATTAGCAATTATGTCTTTAGCACGTAAACTATGTAAGGACAATGTACTATTAACATAACTAGTTGTCTATTATAGTTTTCATTTTAGAACCTGGTTTAACATATATCAAAAGAAAAATGACACCTATTTTACCTGATTTAGCTATGTTTGAAATGCTTGAATCTTATCAAACAACTTTTAACAATGAACCATTTCTAACTCGAGATATTTTAATTCTTTTCTCTTGTCGATAATAGTATTTTACTTAGGTATGATTTATTAAAATAATTTTGTCTTTTTCATTTATTAATAAAGTTATTGATAGGTAAATGACCTAAAAGTTGTATGCTGACATTTTCGACATAACTATCATTAGACGTTTTCAGCATTCGATATTATTTTCTTCGATATTTTTTCCGGCATTTTAAATGTTCGATGATTGTTTTTTTCGACGTTTTCTATTTCGGCATTTTTTCTTTCTGCGTTTTTTATGCATACCATCCGTGCGATGTTGAGAGACTCTCTGGAAATGCTATTGGTCAATATCGAGACGGGGAAATACTAGCCTTAGAAAGTAGTGCAAAGAGACAGTGTTATTAACTAATATGTTCGTTGATAAAAGATAAGTTATCATAGAGTTAAAAATAAGTATATAATTATTAAGAACACAAATAAAAAAGACACGAAGCAGAATTTTGATGTGTCATACTCACATTTGTATCTATTTCACTCATGATGAAGTTTTTCTTCTGCTATGGGATTCTAGACAAAAGACTCAACAGAAAGAGTTGGCTCGCAGTATCATTCCTTTTTTTCTTCTACCAATGCATTTTGACCAATGTTATCTCTACATGAATCTAAAAGAACGAGAAGAAGAAACAAGGCTAATGTGTAAAAGATAGAATGCAGGGTTTCACTTTCATTATCTACATCAAAGGACGAAGTCGATGGCGGGCGCGTGCACAACTTTACTTCTCTGTCTTATCGCCTTAATTCTGCCACCTGTTGCTGTGTGGATTGCACGAGACAAAGTATGTAGTGGCACTGTATTCATCAATATTCTACTTACATTACTTGGTCTTGTGAGTATTTTATTATTTTGTCATTGCAGATTATAATCATGTTTATTTATTCTATTTTACAAGGTTCCCGGTGTCATCCATGCTTGGTGCGTCATTCTCTGCTACAGCAACATTTAATAACTAGTGATCACTTGATGAACTCTTAGTTGATTTTATCATTTCCATTCCATCGTATCTATTCACTAAATAAATCATACTTTGGTGACCAATACCGGTCTGATAGCATTGAATATTATCGTTTTCTGCATTCAAAAAGCGATTATAAAAGATTAAATGGATCTGACATAAGGTTTTTTAAAGAAGTAACACATGAAAATTCTCTTAACGAAAACGACTAACCATTTCTTATTTAATATAAAAAATTCTGTATTAGGCATTACAATATTGTAGCAGATAATATATTCAAGATTCTTTGCGACTTTAGCTGCTGAATAATATTTTTCGACAGTGAATTTCAAGCGTGAAACAATAATTTTATCGAGCGTTTAATTTCAAATAAGATAAAATAATTGTTGATAGAAATTCTCCTAGAAAATACATGTCTTCCCGTTCACATAATATAGGCTATGATATTCGTTTCTATAATGTTGGTTGAATTAAAAAATGACGCTGGAATAGAAACTCAAGGCAAATACTGATTTCAACAAAGCTATTAGCGCAGTCCCTGTAGGATTAAAATGTGAATCATGATGTAGCTTTGGTTCAGAATCTGGATCTGAAAACTTTGTGTTAATTGCTTTCAAAAACTTTGGATCCGACAGACTCTAGAGACAAGATCCAAGTTTCTACCTCTATACTTCAATACTGCTTTTAGATGATATTGTACAAAAAAAGACATGAACTAGACAAAACTTACATTCTATTCGCACTAAGATTAATGTCTTATCTGATTTTGATCAATCTTACCAATGTTTAAAAAAAAGATCTACTACTGTTGCTTTGATAGCCATTAGATTGCTGTTGAGTCAGCATGTTACGCACATTATCAATAATTTGAATGAATGTTTGATATAAGAATCTCTATGTGAATTTCGAACCATATAATAGCGACCTCTATAGAATTTTAATCTTCTACACAAAGCGCAACAATCGATTATTTTTAAGTGGTCGTTGGACACCCATTTATTCATTTTCTTTTTTCTGTATAAATGCAAAACTAGAGTTTCGCTTTGGAGGATTAGCTAATATTTAGTTCCAACGATGTTATTCCTATTTAAATAAACATAATATACATCAATCTATTGCTATATCCACATAGATTCGTGATATTAGTAAATCTATTTGAGTATATGAATGTTCTAGTTTCATTGAATGCAGATATGCCAATGATTTCAATTATTTTTGGTATCATAATCAATCGAGATATACATTATAAATGGTTAAATATATGTGAACTCATCTCGAATCTAAGTTTGACCCTGGCAATAAATTCAGACTTATCATATTTAATAAAAATTTAGGATCATTTTCCTAATCTATAATATAATTCTAAACAATCATTAAGTCTAAATTATATCTAAACTATAGAATTAAATTGCATCTAACAGTTGAACATATAAAAAATTTTGATTTCTAATCTATTTTAAAAATTTCGTTTTTTTCATCTTAAATTTAATATAAATCAAAAACTAATTTCAGATGAATCGTTTTTTATTACCTCGTTTAACTCCATCAATAATTCGTTTATGTTTTCGTTCAACATCAACAAATTTTGGTTTAACAAATCGTGATCGAAAACGTTTTTATAAACAAGTATCAATTATTGAATCATCACCAATACCAACAAAATATGAAATATTACTTGATCAACATAAATTAAAAACACCATTAGGAAATATAATAACAATTGAAAATGAATTTCTTGCATTAGCACTTGCACATGAATGGAATCAACAAATAAAAAAAATTGATTTAGCATCAATGCATTTAAATTCATTAATAAATACATTAATTGATAATCCATTAAAATTAACAAAAAATCAACATATTGAAAAATTAATGTATTTTCTTGATTGGGATACAATACTTTATCGTTCAGATCAACCAGAAGAATTTCGACAATTACAAATTAAATCATGGGATCCAATTATATTATTTATTAATGAACAATTTCATACAAATTTTCAAGCAACATGTAATCTTAATACGAAAGATCTTATTAATAAAAATGATCGAAATATTATTGAAAAATATTTATTAAATTTTGATGAATCATCATTAAATATATTTTTATTTATTGTTGAACAATTAAAATCTATATTATTAACTATTTGTTTAATAAAACAATATCGTTCAATAGAAAATATTGCTACATTATCACGACTTGAAACAGAATTTCAAATATCACGTTGGAGTAATGTTGAACATTATCATGATTATGACATAATGGATACATGTTCAAAAATATCAGCTGCTTATTTAATTTTTTATTGTTTAAATAATAATATAACAAGAACAATTGTGACAAATGAAACAAATTAATATATAAGAAAATTTCTATTTGTTTCGATATATTGAGATAAAAATTGGTTATAAAATAAGAAAAAAAAACACACACACACACATATGTTTCGTTGTTTTCATTTATTTTAGATGAATTATTTTGTATTATGAATAAAAATAGAAAAATTTTAAATAATAAGGTAAATAAATTTATTTAGTTTTATTAGAAATAGAAATTATCAATTGAATTGAAAGGTTATTTAATGTAAATGAAAAGTAGATCGTAATGTTATTTTTTTATGTTTGTGATGAAAGGATATTAATCAACAGATTGTCATATATCCAAGTTATCAAGAATATCAAAGAAATTGGATTGGTTATATATATTAGACATAAGAAAGATGCACTTCTATGCGATCGGAGATGAAAAAGAGACTGAAAATAAAGCAATTAATCTTTTTTCTCATGTCTTATTGAAAATCTTCAACAAGAGGTCTATTAATGACTAAATTGATTTCAGTATGAAAATCTTAAAAGAGTTCGTATCCTTCAACAGAGTAAGACGAAATTTTCGTCCGAAAGTTTCAACTCAAATGAATACGTTTTTCTTAAGATATGAGATCTGTTATTGGGAAGAATTTGAAACCTAAGAATACGAATCTATTTTATGATTTCATTTAAACTATGAGTCCTACTTATGAATTTCGAAAAGAGGCCATCGATTAGATTGTTTATGACAAAAGAGAACAAGTGTGCTCGAAGCGAAGTTTCTTCGAGTATGGAATCTTTGTCTGCCAGATAATTTCATTGTGTTATGAGATGTAATATCCCTCTGAACCATCCATATGTTTTGCATTCAATTTTATTTCGACTTGTTTTGCTAATTTCTTAAACGTTGTGACAACATCGGTATATCTCTCCTTTCTTAAACGATGCGATCGGTGTTGTGGGAAAGTCGAATAAAATGTAATTCCATCTGTGCTAATACTTCTTCTATCAAAAATCGTCACATCTGATGATCTTAACAACTCTCTGTACGAAGTCGATCATTTCAATGTTGAGTCAAAATATCTTTCTTGCATCATCTTTTATTTTCAATAAGAAGAATTCAAACGATAAAATGTCAAACCTGAATTGCTAGTGTGACAATTAATCTTCTCAATGGTATGGGCGGCGACCTTGTTTGCGTTCGCATTGACAAAATCTAGTCGTGAAAAGAATGGTTTGAAAATGTTTTCCTTCTACTGCACAGCAATTCGTCTCATCGATTCCACGCTTGTATCTGTATCGTATATACCAATAGATATTCAACGTCACGATTTGTATCTATTGCGTTTTTATAATACTCCTACTATTTGCACTACAAAATTACTGATCAATTCTATTCTCATCCATCTCTGTTATGATCTAAATCGATGACAACTCTAATAAACGACCTGTCAGCCAATAGACAGCACTACAAATTACAAATGGATCCGTTTGCTCCCTATTCTATTCCGTACTGACTGTCGTATCAGACTGTTACTTATTTTCTTTACTTGTCAATTATTGGCGTCAATTTATTCCTTCAATATGGACTGCTTGCCATACATGATCTTTCCAATATGTATCAATCTAATTACAATGCTAGCTATTGTTATTAAAAATTTCTTTTTTGTGAAGTCTTTTCCTTACGGTTTGAATCTTTTAACATATATGAAATATATGACTAATATTTTTAGTTGCCATTCTCTATCCATAACTTTTTATTTTGTATTCGGTTCTAGACGGTCAGGAGAACGTCGAATTTCGGTATTGGAATGTGACAACATCGAGATATTTATCCTCTGTCATAGTTATCTTTCTTATTATCTTTATCTTTCTCTCTTTTTCTTTCCTATTTGTGTATATAAACGTATGTTCTGTGTGCAAACAATGCGTTTAAGGATATAAGGAAGTCGAGTAAAGTGTAATTTCATCCGTACTAATATTTCTTCTATCAAAAATCGTCATAAACATAAAACATGAATCTGAATTTAGGATATGATGAAGTTTTCATTTCGTTATTATCTTCAAAATACAATAATCAAAAAATTCTAACCTATAAACATATTTCTTATGTTAGATCAGAGTAAAAATATATATGTGAATTTAAATGATATTTCCACAAAAAAACATCACTAAATTCTTCTTATTCGAATTATTTATGAGAGAATTTGATCAAGTTTCAATTATATTCTTCGATTTGACAAAAAAAAAACCAATTTCTTTACTTTCGTATTGAATAGTATGTTAAATTAAATAGATATACAATACTTAGAGATGTATGATGTTAGAACATTAGAAAATATATTCTAACCGGATTGTTTTATAAAATAATTGAAACATAAAAAAAATCTATTTTTCATTTTTTTTTCTTTTTAGTTTTTGAATAACATATAATGTTTTAATTGGTTATTTACAATTAATGAATAGCATCTTATTGAATAATGTGAAACAACATTGATTACAAAAAAAAACGAATATTTTAATTCTACTATTAAATTGTTGGAATAATTCAACGAGTAAGTTTGAAAATCTTTTAAACAAAAAAAATAAATCAATACTAAAATTTAGAGTTCGAAAAAAAAAATTTCACAGAAGGATTTTCGGAGAAATCTTAGTTTTTTTGATTCGGCTATATTCTGACATATTACAATTATCTTCTAACTTTGTCTGATCATGTAGAAATTTTTATCATAGATACTTTGAAGTAAAATTAATCTCTTTCGTGTCTGGATTTATAGAATTCTAAAAGCTACATTCCTTATCTTAGCTTCGAAGTTTAATATATTTTGCTTACGAAAAAAGCTCAAAACTATCTGTTAGATATAGTCGTAAATGTTTTCACTCCCATTGGAACACATGTCTGCATATTCTAGATGCTTTATCTGTGGTAAAAATTTCAGTCTAATTGGTTGCATTCATGTCGAGAATTAACAGTAATCAAAAAAGACGGATGGGTATAATTAAATATGTTTGTTATAAAATATTTTATCATTGTTTTTCATCTTTTAGTTATCAAATATTCAAATTCAAATTCAAATTTCAACAATCAATTATGAATATTCTAAATATTTTAATGACTGTCATGAAAGAAATAAAATAAAAAAATTAAATTAAAATAATTATCGTTTTTTTTTTCTTTTGTTTGTACTTATTATTTTTTTAAGATACATCAAAACATTCCAAGTAGAAAATCAAAAATTTAATTATGTTACATGTATCATCAATGTTAACTTATGGTTTTTTATCATTTATATTGGCATTTTTTAACAAGGCACTTTTTGAACTAGCTAATTTTCATAATACTTTAGTTGTAATTTTTTCTCAACTTAGTTTTATACTTATATTATTCCATATATTGGCTTATTTTCATTGTATAACATTACCTATTATGACAAAAACTGAAGCATATACATTACTTATTCCATCTATTTTCTATTGTTTAACTACAGTATTATCTTTAGAAGCACTTTTGAAACTTAATGTAGCTGTATATGTTGTGATTAAAGTAAGTTTGAAAAATAAAAAAGACAAAAACAACATTGCAAACGAATTAATATTGTTCGTGAAATGTTGATTTAGTCTTAGTAGTAATAGAATATGTACTGAATGTTTGTTTTTTCTTTGCATTTATAATTTAAATATTGAATAAATTTGATTCGAGAAAATGACAATAATAATCTTTTGTATTCTTTGTATATGATAAGTTTTAACTGAAATGTAAATCTTTGCTTACTTCATAATCACTGTATAGAACATTGTCTCATTTGTTTAATGAAAAAAAAAGAACGTGTTTTTTTTTATGTTGTAGCGTTGTACACCAGCATTAACCTTTGTTTTATCTGCAATAGTATTAAAGAAGCAAAATCTTAATATGAAAACAGGTTTATGTGTATTCACTATTACTATCGGTGCAGCAATAACATCCATTGATGATGTATCCTATCATATGGAATCGTATATAATTGGAAGTTTTAGTGTATTATTTCATTCTCTTTATCTTCTTACAATCCAACGATATAGTGAACAACGAACATCCAATGATATTCTTTATATCAATAGTTTATTATCATTACCAATGATATTTATGTTAATGATAATATTTCCTAATGAATTATCAAATATTAAATCTTATGAAGGTTATAATACAATAAATTTTTGGTTATTTTTTTTATTATCAACATTTGGTGGAGGTCTACTTAATGGTGCAACATTTTGGTGTACAATTAAAAATTCAGCATTAACTACAACGTAATTATGAAAAAAATTTTTTGTTTATTATTATTTTAAATTTTATCTTATTTCAATAGTGTAGTCGGTGTTTTAAAAAGTGTTCTTCAAATATTTTTTGGTGTGTTTGCATTTGAGCAACTTCCAATTAATAATAAAACAATTATTGGTATTTTATTATCACTTATTGGTGGTACTATGTTTAGTTATTTTGAATATACAAATAAACAAACAAAATCAGGATTAAGTACGACCGATAATAATTCGGAACAAACGCTGTAGTCAACATTTAACATAGAAGAAATGATAGTAAATGCTAAAAAAAACTTGTATATATATTTAATAACTTGTTATTTTTACATGAATTCTATCAGATTTTTAAAGGATAAATTTTTATTTTCAGGCTGCAAATTTATCCGACCAATGAAATCTGTATAAATCAAATTTCGTGTCATTAGTGATATAGAAAACATGTCTTATTAACTTTTTCTCATTTTTAATCTCAAATATTGTTATATGTGATATATTCTATATTTTAGACTATATATAAATTTTCTTACATTAATTTTTTTTTTCTTCTTTGAATCTTATCTAATTAAATGAATAAGTATATTTGATGTACTTTCTAGATGTTATTATGATGAAGCTTTATATTCTATTTATCTTTATTTGGTCTTTTTTAAACCCTTCTTCTGCTATTCTTAGTAAACCATGTTCACGTGAAAATAGTCGAATTGTTCGTGATTATTTTAAACAAGTAATTTATTGAAAACAAAAAAATATTCTTTTTTTTTTAATCATTTTCATAAAAATTTTAGACAGTTAGTTCAATCTATGAAAAAAATCATTTATCTATTCCTGATGAATGTATTTTTTCACCAAAACGTGATATTTTTTATCATCAAGAATTACACAAAACTAAAATAACAAATAATAAATGGTTATGTCAATATTGTAATAAAGTATTCTATTCAGAATATTATCTTGATATACATATGTCTAATCGACATAATGATACATTAATTCATGTAAACAAAAAAACAAGTTTTTCTTTTTGTTTTTGTTCTAATATTCAATTAATAATGATAAATTTTTCTAGGATGAACAATCTGTATGTTTAGCTGATTATTGTTCAATATTTCGATGTGATGTTTTAAAACGACATAAAAAATCTTTTCGAGCTTTTCATTTTTTTATACGAACTTCTGATGTAACAAAAAGAAAATCAAAAAAAATTCTTAATGAACAACAATTAACTATTTTAAGAAGTCGATGTGCAGTAAGTAAAAGATTGTCACCAAAAAAAAAAGAAGTTCCTATTCATATTTCTAAATTTTAGTCTATTATCAACGAATGTGTTCCACACAATATTAAACATGATACTCGAGTCAAAATGCAACGTAAGTATTCATCCTTACATTATAAGTATTTATCTCATTGATTAAAAAAAAAATCTAGGTGTATAAATATGAAAACAGCTATCGATTTTATGAAGGGTATTGGTAACTTATGCTAACATTCAACTTTACAAAATTGCATTTAAATCTTCTTCACTAACATTCACACCTTGACAGAGTGATCCTCACGAACACCCACTTTGTACAAGTTCTAGACAGTCAGTAATAATCATAAAATGACCCCCGTTGTCCACTACTACACTGACACAGAATTTCTTGTATGCTCGGCACAAATGTCCTCAACTTGCCTTCACTAACACCCACAGATGTCTATATTCTATATTTGGATATGAATAAGTGCTTGTAACAACAAACTAGAAAAGTAGTTTACTGCTACCCTTGATAATAATGTTTGTTGAGCTACTTCATATCTGTAGAATATGTCTATTTTATATACAACAGATGCTTATTACAGGAGAATGAGATAAACAGAAGAAAGAACAATAGAGAGAAAAGGAAAATTAGCGCAAACTGATATCACTATCTACATAGTACAATTTCCAAATAACTTTTCTCAAGAAATTTTTTCCTGAAAACATGTCAAACCAACCCCCAAAAATGTCTATAGATATCTATGAATACCCAAATGATCTTCATTAACAAGTCTATAGTATTTAACTTGTTGTCTCCTAATGTCTACAGAAACATTCGATCTATTCATTAATATATAATTGAATTAGTTTCTTAAGCATATTTATCTTTGATAATACTCCTACATATGAAAAAGAAAAATCTAAAAATAAACAAAGATCTATAGAAACGTCTAGTAAGCTTTGTACAGTAAAATACAACATGTTAATGGCGTCGTATTTCTTCGTAAATACAGAACTAGTTAGACGAACGTATGTACGATAATATATGGTAATATTACGAAATCTTTATGGCGTTTTACGATAAAAATAAATTATGATATACGACTAGTAATACTGGACTTGTGCTTACGATAGCAGATAGCATCAAAATAATTATTTACAGTAGACTATGTTGTATAAGCAACTGCTTACGACAATTAACTTATAATGAGAAAAGTCTAATTCAATTTCTGACACATAGTTCGAATTGTTTTCTTTTGCGTTTTATTTCAAAAATACTTGAAGATAATGAAATATACTTTACAACATTGATAAAAATATATGAATATATGTTAATATATAGAAACATGAAATTCAAATTAGTTTCAAATGTAATTCCCCTCTCTTTTGCTTTTTTTATGTTAGTGATAATGAGAAAATACATCAAAGACGAACATAAATTCGGAGAACGACATACACTATCAAGATTTTTAAAAAGTGCAAATGATTCAAGTCTTGTAATCGAAGTCCAAACAAATAGATTTATATTTTTGTTACAAAACTAATAATTACACTTAAATAATGAACTGATATATATATATCATTTTGCAAGATTCCTAAAAAGGAATATTAAAAAACACATTTAAAACAAAATGTTTAACTTATAACCATATATTAGCTAGTAAAACACAAAATATTACAACAAAAATCAAGTTGATATCATTTGATTCATTCAAAGATATTCAATTGGAAATACGTCATAATGGAAAAATGAAATTTATAATTGTACAAGTTTTCTTTTTCAAAGAATATATTTTCAGACATATGATTAGTATAGCAATGAGGTTGACATTTTTCAAGCAATTTCCAGCAGTAAAAAGATATAATTTCAGATGAAAAACTTTGTTTAACAAAGAGTAGAGTCATTTTATGGTCTTTCCTGACGGTATATTTTTTTTAGGACTTGTACAAAGTGGGTGTTAACATAAACTTTGAGTATCCATTTTACGAATGCCTTCAAATTTAAGTTGTTCAATATAAGAAAAAGAAAATTATACTAGATGACTATCTTAAAGATGTTTCATATTTGTTAATATACATTTTTTGACTAATAGCTCGATATTAAAATTAATTTCGAAATCTGAATCCAATAGTTGCATAATTCTATGAAATATACAACAAGGTTTAACCAATGATATTTCTTTGTTTCTATTGAAAACAGAATCATAAGTAAGATTTGTTGAGTAAATGAGTCATGCAATTATGCACTACCAATGAAATTATGAATGAATCAGTAAAAAGTGCATTTTATTCTTTTCTTTCTTCCTTTCTCTGTCAAAAAAATGTTTTATTATTTAGATGAAATGTATGCAGAAATTTGTGCTTATTTGACAACCAATAGATATTTTGAATCACCAACTCATGATGTAAGAATTTTTCTTATTATGATATAAATTTTAAAAAAAAACAGAAACGCCACATTCAATTAATTTTAGAAAACTTTAATTAAAATTACATCTATTTTTTGTTTTGTAATTTGTATTGCCATGTGTTTTATTGGTATTGCAATTATAAAACGTTCTGATTGGAAGTATGTTTTATAATATATATAAATTTTATGGAAAAATTTTTATTTATTTATTATTTAGATTCGGTTTTCATGGTGATGATGAAACTGAAAAACATCTATCCGATGAAACAATATCTACAGCAACTGCATTATTATCAAAAACACCTCGAAATAGTATTATTCATTCATCAAAACATCTAACATCTAATGTTCGCCATCGAGTCCATTTTGAAACTGTAGACGAATATAATCATTTACATAGTGAACATATGTAGAAAATTCCTAGTTTTCGTTCTTTTGTGAACATTCTTTTCCTTGCTTTTATCTTCTGTAATCTCCATATTTTTGTATTTTATTCGTTGTCAGTTATCCACTGGATAATTTTTATAAAAAAAAAAAAATTAATAAATTAAATCCAAAAAAAAGTATTCTTTGTGAAGGTAAGTATGTTGTCATCCAATCATTTTGCAACGGAGTTGTTCAAAAAGTAATTGCAACATGAAGACAAAATTATCTGAGTATATAAGGAGCCTACAAAAATTGAATTGCTTTCATTTTTGTTTTGTAACTTGAAAAAAAATAGAAGCTTTATATTTGCATGGGTTTTTTTTTGTCTCTTCTAGATTCAACGATGTCGAAAAATCTCTTACATGAATCAGCATCATCGGATGCTCTTCGTTTAAAAGCTTTACAATCTGGTTTTGAAAGTCGTGTTGAAGTTAATCAACGAATGTTAATTGATAAAATGCTTGCACGTTATTCATCGGATTTTGTTGTTTGTCGTGAATTAATTCAAAATTCTGACGATGCTAAAGCAACATCATTTCATTTTGAAATAACTTGTGATAATGGATCATCATCATCATTATCATCAGAAAAAGATTTTCATAATAAAACTATAACAGAAATTTGTGCTATAAATAATGGTCTTATTTTTAATGAAACTGATTGGAAACGTGTAGCAGCTATAGCTGAAGGAAATACAAATGTTGAATCTGTTGGACAATTTGGTGTTGGATTTTTTTCTGTTTTTTCATTTTCTGAAGAACCAATTATAACATCAGGAAATCAATATATGGCATTTGTTTGGCGTGATGATAATTCTTTAACAACTTATCGTCATGAATTACCATTAGAACAACAATCACAATTAACATCAATTATTCTTAAAATGCGTACAAAATATATTTTACATACAGAAACAAATTTTGATTTTGATTCAATAATAGATATTAATGAAAATTCTAATATTAAATCACCAAATAAAAAACGTCAAAAGAAAAGTATAACAACAACAACAACAACAACAAATGAAATTATTCCAACAATTAATCTTACACAACTTAAAGCTTATTTTACTAAAGGTAGAAATTTTATGATTGGTAGTGTTTTATCTGGGTTTTCTTTTCACAGAGAAGGGTAAACACTTCATTTTAGAGAGTACAGACATATAGTACAAGGTATCATAATCATAATACTTTTGAGAGAGTCAACTCAATTTTTTAGAAGAACACCACTTCCACGTTAATTATGTTTCGATATTTGTTTGGCAGAATTCCCCATGCTGAATAAAATATTGATGATTATTAATGTTTTTTGTTTTTTCTTAGTTTTATCATTTACAAAACATATTAATGAACTTATTATAAAAATTAATCAAAAAACAATTTTTAAAGTAACAAAAACAAGAAAACCAATATCATCAACAAAATCTAATTCACAATTTAAAAAAAATTCTATTCATAATATGTTACGTCTTGATTCATTAATACAAACAGAACAAATCTTTTCTATTGATCATGGTCCATCTATAACATTAAATCATATATCTGTTGATGCAACATTAATTATTGATGAAAATTATCATAATCATATTCGACGTATATTAAAAAAAAGTTTACCACCAAATGTACAAATTCAACTTTTATATACACCTAATAATGTAAAATAAAATATCGATAGTTTTTTGTTTTTTATTTTTGAAATTCGTTTTTTATTTTTTGTTCTTAGATTATAACGAAACAACAACAACAACAACAACAAAGAAAATCATCAAAAAATGATGATCTTCATATGAAAATTCTTAATTCATTAATACCATTAAAATTTCAAAATGATGAAATTTATCCAGCAGGTTTAATTTTTATTGGTCTTGGAACACATCAAACAACTGGAATAGGAATGCATGTTTATAGTCATTTAATTCCAACAATTGAACGTGAAAATCTTGATTTACAAGATCCATATATATCAAAATGGAATAGAGAACTTCTTTTATCAGTTGGACAAATAGCACGATTTGTTTTTGATCAATTAATGATTGTTAATAAACAATACGATTCGACACTCGCTTCTTATTCATTTCAACCATCTATACCAAATAATGAAATTGGTATAAATAGGTTTTTTTTTTAAAGCATGAATACGAGACAAAAATACGTTTCTTCTAATAGGGAGACAAATTTAGATTTTTATCATGAGAACTATCATTCTGACTCGAAAATAAAACCATAGGTCTATAACAAACTACTTTAATTCTCTATGGTTCCTTCAGTTCCATTAAAGATGTGAATTCGAATGCGACGGTATGTGGATGGACAGAAAGTACACATTCACACCCTTAAAGGGATTACGATAGATTATAGTTGTAAGAGATTTTTAGACCGGGATAACTTTGATTTCTTGTGAACCTCCTCCCGCAATAAAAATGTTCTCGTTACAATCAACAAAAAAATGTTTTTTTTTCCTTTCTACAGGTTCAATTCTTGTCGATGGATTTTTTTCTTCTAATAAAGATTTACTTGTTCCTGTTAAACAAACTCCAACAGATATTAATCTTTCACTTATTCCATCAATACAAGCTTATATAGCAAATTCCAAACATATTCATTCCTTTCTTTCATTACCACTTGTACCATATGAATTAAGTAAAAATGGTTTATTTCAAGCTTTAAAAGATCGTGATTTAATAATTGAAGTTAATAATGAATTAATTGAATTAACAATAACAACAACAATACTTTTATCAAATCAATTTGTTGAATTTCTTCATTGGTTATCTAGTCAAAATTATGATGATAAACAATATATAAAACGTTTATTATCAATTGTACGTTTTCGTGAAACAAATAATTCATCAATAATAACATTAGAAAAATTAAAAAATTATGATAATTTTAATATATCAACAATAATTCCATTACCATCACATGTTTTACCTGCAAGTGTAGCTACTTATTTATCACGAGAAGAATTACAAAAACAATTATCATTAACACCATTTACATTAAAAGATTTTCTTCATTATTATTTACTTAAAAATCAATTATATTTATTTACAAAAGAAAATACATCAACATGTTTATTACATATTATTTCAAAATATTCTGGACAATTAAATAAAACAGAATGGAATAAATTAAAAACAACTTTATCAACAATAACATGTATACCAACAAATCAAGGAATGAAAATTCCTAATGAATCATATATTCCATCATCAATTTTATCATCAGATTTACCAATAATAACATTAAATGTACCACAAAATTTAACTGATGATGATGATGATGATGATGATGATGTTAATGATAATCAATCAATAATAGAAAATATGGAAAATTCAATATCAGCTGAATTTCTTAAACGATTAGGTTGTCGAACATTAAATGTTCAATCATTTGTACATGCACGATCATCATTAACAAATTCAACATCATCATCAAATTCCCATACTATGAAAATTTTAATTCAACATTTAATGGAAGAAAGAGATAATATGAGTGAAGGTGATTTTAATGCATTAAAACAAAGTGAATGTCTTAGAGGTAAAATTTAATAGTTTATTAAATCTAATCATAAATCATTTATTTATTTTTCAAGGTACAACACTTATACCAAATAAAGAAAATACACGAAAATATGCACCACAAGATCTTCATTTTCCATTTGTTGCTATTCAACTTCAATGGTCAACATTACCAATAATTGATTGGCATGATATTGATTTACATTCACGTGAATATGCATTTCTAAAAGAAATTGGTGTACGTGAAGTACCTGATTTACAAAAATTAATTGATCGAATTATTGAAGAACATAATGAACAAAAGAAAAAATCAATTAATGAATATAAATTACCAATAGGACTTAAATTTTTAGCTGAAAATTTTCAACAACATTATTCAAAATTATGGAAAACAGCAAAAATTAAACGACCTTTTCTTCCATCACTTTCACCATCAAAAACTATTATATTATCATTACCCGAAGAAGTTTTTAAAGGTTTGTTTTCTTTTTGTTTTTTTGTTCTATTTATCATATTTTGTTTTTTTCGTATTAGATGAAAGTCCATTATGTGCAACACTTTTATCCAATGTTATTGAATTATTTGAAGAACATTTTAATATATCATTACTTGGTGTTAAAGATCGTCCAACATTAACAGTAGCATTTGATATTCTAATGGAAAAAAAAGAAGAAATACTTAATGTAGAAACTGCACCAAAAATTTTTGCCTATATGAATCAACTCGATGGTTTAAGTCGACCATTAATTGAACGTATATCAAAACTTGCTTTTATTCCTCTTGAAGGAAATAATTATTTTATGAAACCATCACAAGTTTTTATACATCCTGATAATTCAACAATAGAATCATCATCAAGATTACGACAAATACATGTTATTCTTCCAACATCATCTGAAGATGATGATGATGATGATGATGAAATAACACAAGCCAATGGTAGTAGTCGTCGTCGCCGTCGTAAACGAAATGTTAAAACAACACCAAAAAATAAAAAAACTAAAACAATATCATCATCATCAACTCCATTAATTATGGATAATACAGATAAAAGTGGTTTAATTGATTATATTGATTATGGTTTTGAAGGAAATTCTTTTCTTCTTGGTATTGGTGTACTTCATCATCCATCTGCAAATATTTTAGCTGAATTATTAATTGATCGACAAGAAAATTATTTTAAAAATTTAAATTCAAATAATCCAGATGATTTACAACGAAAATTACTTGCATATACAAGTTGTCTTCGACAACTTGCTATTGCAGCTAATACAACAAATGAATTACAATCAACATCATTAATAAAAAGATTAAAAAATGAATCTTGGTGTTTAGGTTATCAAGTTATTGAAAAACGTTCAAATAATGAAAAACAACGTTTATTTAAAATTGTGCCACCAAATGAAATTTATCTTGATGATGATCATCAATGTGCTATTGATCTTCGACCATTATTACCACCGGATG